AAAACCGAAATAATGTATGCATGCACAGTTTCGGTTGAAAACCGAAATAATGCATATGAAAAAACCCGAAGTAATGCATACATGCACAGTTTCGGTTGAAAACCGAAATAATGCATATGAGAAAATACCGAAATTATGCATATGCATACTTTCGTTTTAAAAGCGAAATAATGCATATGAAAAAAAACGAAGTAATGCATACATGCACAGTTTCGGTTTAAAACCGAAATAATGCATATGGTAAAAACCGAAATAAAGCATACATGCACAGTTTCGGTTGAAACCGAAATAATGTCTAAATGCACAGTTTCCATATGCGCAATTTCGGTGCCCCGAAGGTATGCATACATGCACAGTTTTGGTTGAAAACCGAAATAATGCATATAACAAAAACCGAAATAATGCATGCATGCACAGTTTCGGTTGAAAACCGAAATAATGCATATGAAAAACCCGAAGTAATGCATACATGCACAGTTTCGGTTGAAAGTCGAAATAATGCATATGAGAAAATACCGAAATTATGCATATGCATACTTTCGTTTTAAAACCGAAATAATGCATATGAAAAAAAACGAAGAAGTGCATAAATGCACAGTTTCGGTTTAAAACCGAAATAATGCATATGGCAAAAACCGAAATAAAGCATACATGCACAGTTTCGGTTGAAACCGAAATAATGTCTAAATTCACAGTTTCCATATGCGCAATTTCGGTGCCCCGTTTCGACAAGCCTGATTAGGAATGTATGTAGATCTAAGGTGACGAATTTATAATAGGTTGGGAACTATAAAAAATGGATGCAGATCGAACTAGATCTCATCTGTCGAATTAGGAACTGGTTTGGAACTAAAGAAAAGGGGATGCAGAACGAACTAGATCTCATCTGTCGAATTTGGAACTGGTTCGGAACTATAGAAAAAGGGATGCAAAACGAACTAGATCTTATCTGTCGAATTTAGAACTGGTTCGGAACTAGAGCCAAAGGGATGCAACGGGGGACAATTGACACTTCCTAGGACATCGCAATGTTAAATTCGCCAGTCGCTAGCATGCAAAAGAGAATTAACGCGTACTAGTCATGGTTCCAAACGCACTAGAACCGAACCAGTTCCGCACTAGTTCATTTCTCTACAGGGTTTTTATAGTGTTAGTGTTTCTTCTAGCAAAAAGCTAGAGTCCGACCGATACCATTTTTTTTTCAGATACCGATGCCGATTAATCGGCTTATGGGGAAGGAATCGGCCGATACCGATGCCGATTCCATAAAAAATTACAAATAAATATATGAATTCATAAAATCAGTTAATTTAACGGAGTTAACAAAACAAAAGAAAACAAATAATTGAATTAATTGGCTTGTTATGCAACATTACATACACATGTATGCATGTGTAAAAATATATGTACGCATATCACATTTATGTACTTTATTTAAAACAATTTTTTATATGGTGCTAAGCACGAAATATTTAGGAACATAAAATTTCATTTCGTTTTGTACTAAAATACAATCTTTTGCACTCAATGCATAAGAATACATACCTAGCATTATAAACACACATATAGTGGTCCACAAAATAAAAGAAATGCAATATTTTGACCGGTTTTGGCATTTGGCCTTTGTCTTTTGTTTAGTTAATGTTTATTATTTTTTTTATAAACGGCTAGCCGGTATACAACAAACACCATATAAATTTCAAACTTTCTACAAAAATTAGAAAATTTCCTCTTATTTTCATCAAAATTTCAAACTTCTTAATCAGAATTTTGGTATGCAGTTTTATAGGCAATTTAATTCTAGTATAATGTAGTGTAAGTTTCAAGCTGCTATAAAATCTCGTTAATTTTTAGTAATTTTTTTTTTGCTGGCGGTGTGCTCCATATAAAAGAAAATAGTCGAACATACTTTTGTATTAAAGAAATGTGAAACACGAAAATATAACTTTACTCAACCGCAATCAATTGGAGACTGGTAACACTGTGTAACACTCAGTGTGCGAACTATACCACTTTTGTGGTAGATCTACCACTTTTTTGCTAAATTGCATCAACCACCGTAAAATTAAAATCTACTTCATTTTACTATTGTGAATTAGACAATCGTTAATAAGACATTCGCTTTAATATTTTCCTTCCATTTTCTAAAACAAGGCTAATTTGCTAAGTGCTACTAGAATCAGTGAATTGGTGTAATTCGGCTGCGAAATCAATAGCTTTAGGCGGGAGCACGCACAATGTGATAAGGTAAATTATCACACTTTGTAATAAGGTAAATTTATTAAACTATTTCTGGGATATATTTTAGTAATTATTACTTTCCAGGAGAAAACAAATCCCACCCAAACCACTACGGATATAAGAAAGTTTCGGAGAAAGATCATCGTTTTTTGACCTATGTAACAAAGAAATATGTGTTTGTTTTTCACTTACATTTGTAATATGTGTATGTATTTTAAAGGATTCAATCTTGTATAGACTAATAAAGACATTTAAATACCTACGTATATGTAGTGTTGGAATCAACCACAATTTGTTAGACTTAACTTCCACTAAAAAAACCTGGAATGTCACACATCCCATATTGCGGACCTAGTTGAGTAATAAAAATTTGTACAATCAAAATCCCAAAATACAATATGCCCTCAGGGACTGGATTTAGGGTTAAAAACCCATTATTGTGGGGGTTCTTTTCCCCATAAATTTAACATTTCTGAATCGATCGTGAATTTGTATGTTGCTGAAAAGAGGATTTATATACGCTCATACGTAACTTATCGTAAATACTTGATACAAATTAGCGGGACTTTTTTCAGCAAACTTAAAAAAATCGAAATTTTTATGTTTATGTTTATTTCATTTTAAAATTATTTTAATATCACACTGTTAACATATAATAAAACAACTTTAAAATTGAATTGCACAAAAAAAGAAATCAGTAAAAATATCAATATTATTTGAGTTTGCGGTAGAAGTCTCGCCAATTACTTTGCGGTAAGGAATATATCGTTATGAGATCAATAAATAATTGTTAAAGTTATGGACAAATATACTAGGACCCTAAATCCAGAATTGGAGGGTGTCTGATCTGGGTTTGATCGATAGTTTTTAAAGAGGTGAGCATTTTGAGAAAATATCAAAAGAAATCCACTTTGGAAGAAAATGCAAAGCCATAAACTCCCAACGGCAAGTCTGTAGAGGCGGATTCCCTCGCCGGGATGAGAGAACAATAAAGATAACCTTGATTATAAGGCTCACCAGCGAGGCTTTGTCAATCCGTTGCGAAATTCAGAACCAACAAGAATTTATTCAAAATAATATAGGTTTGCCAATAATTTATTTTCTTACATAAATTTATTTCTTACAGCAAACGACATAGCCGGAGTTTTTAAAAACGATTATCGCATTAAAAGTTACATACATATCGATGGTGCAATAACGCCACAATTCAAAAAATAAGAACTGTTACTACTGTTAAGTGGCTCATGTCTTTAATCCTTGTCGAACCCATGTCTAATATGTATTTTGTACTTACTTTAGCAATCCTTACTGCTTACTTTAGTAAGGGATGGAAATGGATTACACAAGGATTAGAGACAAGAGCCACTTAACATTAGTATCAACTTGTTTGAACTTTGAATTGTGTCGTTATAGCACAGGGCTATCGATATATCTAAATTTAAATAACGTTACTAACTAAAAGCCAAAAATTTACATAAGTACATATCGTCACCTGAAATGCAAAAATAACGTATCATCATCGTCACTGAAATGCAAAAAGTCGTAACTTATAAAAAATACAAAATTCACTTTTTGATTGCTATGATAGATTTCCTCAAATTACAACTCCCCACATCGTTTTATGAAAAAAATAACAATTGTCACGATACGTTATTTTTCATTTCAGGTGACGATATACTAACCATTTCTAACAAGTTGGTACGGCTTCTGAAATTAATTTGTGCTTTTATTATAAGAAAAAATAAATTTTACAACCTTGACATTCTTTAAAACTGAAGATTATGTACTTAATGTATATTTAAATAAAAACAAGTAATTTTTACAAACATTTTTATTTATTTTTTAAGACAAGCTTTTATTTGTGTTTAGTAACAAAAAAGAAAAATTGACCCCGCCCCATCTAACGGCAGATTTTTTTGTGGAGTTATTCCTTTCCATTCAAGTAATACGTTCTAAATATGAATCGGATGTTTAAAACGGGTTTTCCAAATATCTAGACCTACCGGGCAAAATATTTTTGTGTTGTTATTCCCTTTTATATACATAGGTAATATGCATAAATGCGAGTTTTTTAAATATCTCGAGACCTGCGTCCCCTAAGCAGACTAAATGATCTATCATATTGCATTTTCATCGGGGTCTGAGTTAAGTTTGAAGTTCCAAGTCTCTAGCTCATCGGGAAGCTGGTTGAAAATTTATTGAAAGATTGGATTACACATAGGTGAAACATAATAAAAGCTCGTAAAAGGGCCGAAAAGGTACACTGGAAAATACATATCGTCACTAAAGGCGCGAGCTCAAAAGTTGACCGCGAAAACCTAGTCGACGGCGAAGAGGCGAAGGCGTTAACTTATTTTCCCGGTAAACTATGTTTGAGGTAGTAATATTATGTACATTCCCCAAAAAGTTTTTGGGGAATAATACTGAAGTGACAGTCCTTGGCAAGGTATACATCTATGATTACGCGTCTTTCTTCGCCGTCAACTAGGTTTACGCGTCTTCTTTCGTCAATGCGGCCTTTTTCGCGCGTCAAAACAATGGCGCGCCTTTAGTCGTTTCTTGTAACGATATGTGTATGTTAAATATAATTCTGTTTTATGTGCATATGCGTCTACTCACATATGAACATACATACATACACGTTTACTCCACATCTCACTATTTTCCAAATCATAAAGCAAAAACCTCAAATCAACGTCAGGCAATGACATTTGTGTTAACTTTTTATAAAATTTTGGAAATTTTTGTATCATTTGCAGGTGACGTGGCTCAAAGTTGACAAGGGTAAATTTTTTGAATTCATAAACGGACGCAATCCACCATTCCGGAATACATCCATCGGGGGCGGTGAAATCGATGTGAGTAAACAGTTCCTTATCAATATTCGTACATCCAATAACCTGCGCGCTCGATATTTTATATGTAGGTACTTATGTACATACCGTTACCTTAACGTAGAAAGGTCGTATCTCACATTGTCGCTGAAATGTAAAAAAGCCGTAACTAACTAAAATTATAAAACGATGTGGGGACATATAATTTGATGAAATGCATCGTAATCAATCAGAAAGTGAATTTTGGATTTTTAGTTAGTTACGGCTTTTTGTATTTCAGAGAAGATGTGAGGTAGGGCCTTTATATTAAGGCAATGATATGTAATTATGTACGAATGCAAGGCGAATTAGTATAATGTGATAGTAGGAGTACAAAAATAAAAATTTACTTGTTTTTTGTTTTTGCTTTGGCGGTGTAAACTGTCAAAATCTGTAGGAGTGTGTGTGGAAATGCAAACAAAATTTTTCAGTTTGACATTCAAAGCCGTGGAGCTAAACACATACACAAAATCAGCTTATCTAGTAACACATACATGATTTCGACTTGTATATACCCACCATGCAAAACATGAGAAATAGGCAACAATCGTCAATGGCAACAAATTGGCGACTCACCGATTTATTGCTGTGGTGACAAATCGGCAACATCACTTCGATCATGTCAATTTTGAATAAAAAAGTTCTCAAAAATTCCGAAACTTATGAATATGGCGTCAATAGTATTGGCCAAGAGCATCTAAATTATGCCCAAGGACAAGATTGAAAAAATAGGAAGTCGCACAGCGAGAAAATGAATTAATTCCGATTGTAAGTTGCAATTTGGTACAAAAAAATAAATGAAGTATTAAAAAGAATAAAATTATTCCAAAAATCGCCTGAAGCGATAAGAAAAGGACTCATTCAGGTAATAAGAAAACGACTCGCCCAGGCGAGTTGCCTTCGGCGGACGTTTTAGAGCGACCGGTAATAGGAAATCGATTCGATGGCAATATTACCGGCAATAAATTTGTTTCCGAGGGCGACACGTTTTCTTATTGCTGGCAACACAAATTGTTTGGTGGGTATGTACTAAATATACAAACGTGTAACAAGAAGTGTCAGCCAGTTTGAAGTACGCACATTTGATGTTTCCTTATTTTCATTTTAGATTTTGTTTTGTTTTAAGGCGGAATGAAAAAAGCGCAGTGCTGTCTTCAGCAATGCCGAAGGTTTCACGCCTTTCATGAACATCAACAAATTTTTCTTCAACCGATTACTGCACTCTAAATTAGTTGTTTAGGAGCTAAAAAAATGTTTACCTTCAATGCATACATAAATAGAGGAGTTATATAAAAAACCTATACCTGAACAATCAGTAGTATATAAAATATGCCTTATAAAGTACCGATCTAGATGACTTTCACTACTGTATGTGATTAATGTGACCAACTACATATTTCATAGCTGAAAAAGGTACAGGTTAGGTTAGGTTAAGTTAAAGTGCTTGCGCCAGGCAACGGACACACTTAGACAATTAGGAGATTTTCCTTTGTGATACCACGAAAAACCTGAAAGGAGACCCCTAATTTAGTCGGCGAAACACCGTTACCGGCTACAAAATTTCGAAAGCGACCAAAGAGCTCAGGTTTAGTTAAGTGCGAGCTAAAATTTTTCCATCTTAGCCTCGCGAAGGTTGGACAGTCTAAAAGGAAGTGTAGAGATGATTCCACCTCATCTTCCTCTTAACGGCAGATACAAAAGGGATAAGTTTGAATTCCTAGTCTTACCGCGGGAATACTAATCACTATCAGAACCCCCATCACTAGCCCTTGAGAGGTAACGTATTTTTCGGCACCTTTAAGGAGTAACGATGGGTCACTCGCGTCATAAGCTGCAATAAGTATTTTAAAACCCCATATAAAAAATTTGCTGCAGCAGAGAAACGTCTTATTTTCCTTGTTTATGTCACCAAAGGAGCATCGCTTTGTTTGTCCATTTTATGTGGTATTTAGTTGAGTATTCAATTTCATTATCTCGAGTACGAAGTATGCGTGTTAGTCTAGCGCTCGCCGAGCTAGCACTAGGCCCAACCATCCAACAGTGTACCGCAGGACGACAGAAGCGTCCTAGTTGCTCTTCATCTGAGAATAACGTGCCTTTACAACGCCAGGTCATCAGCCACGCCTTACTAAGAAGTACTCTGACGTCATTGATATAGAGGTCAGACATAACTTTACCGATTTTGAGTGCAAAATTGCACCCTTTACCAGTGAGTCTACCGCTTCCTTGATGGCAGCTATTTCCACCTAAAAGACACTACAGAAGTTGAGAACCTGAGCATAGTTTTGGTGGAGAGTTTCCGAAAGCAGAAAATTCTTCTCCAAGTTGTGATCCGCTTCCTGCTTTAAGCAACCCGCCCTTCTCTTGAGGGAATATAGGTAGAGGAGGAGCTTCTGGGAGCCATTTCTGAGGAGCTGTAATCTATCCGTTCAGGGCGAAGTCAAAGCCCTCGACAACTCCTAAGTGTTACCACCCGGTTTCTCTGAGTCTAATAGCAGTTCGGGCTACGAAAATTCTGTCTGACGTTAAGCGCCAGTGTAGCTGTGTTTCCTTATTCTCAACTAATTCCAATCAGGGCGATCCGCTATAAACGCTCAAGTTAGTTTAAAAGTGTAGCCTTCTGTAGTTAGTTCCACCAGACAAGGGCTCCGTGAAACAAGATAGGCTTAAATCTGGCTTCATGCAGCTAATAAATTACTTTGAGCGAGAGATCTCACCTTTTACCGACAGCTACCTACAGCAGTACTAGGCAACCGACGGCTTTCTTACCCTTTCCTCAATGTTAGACTCCACGACAACTTCATATCCAGGATCAAGCCAAAGTACTTGACCCTGTCTAAGAGCCGAAGACGAACACCTCCACTCGAGGGAAGGACGATAACGAGTACCTTGTACTTCCTGGTAAACTAAACCACTTCCTTCTTGCTGGGTTTTACTGCGAGACCGCGGTTGATCGCCCACCTAGTTATCTGATTCAGGTAACCTTGAGTCAGGTCAAAAAGGGTGTCTAGGAGTCGTCCCTTAACCAAAAGTTCCACATTATCTACATAGGCGATCACCCGACAGCTCACTTTTTCCAGTTCCTCTAAAAGGTCGCTGACAACCGCAATCCAGAGCAGGGGAGAGAGAACACCACCTTTCGGAGTGCCCCTATTGAAGAAATCACTTTTTTACCTATGACTCAATCTCTTAAAAAAATTGGTTTGGTCCAATGCCCAGAAAAAAAGTTGATTTTGCCATACAAAACAAACACCAAATCTTTTTTGCTATTCAAAATCAAAAATAAATGGGTTTAAAATTATTGGTTTCTTTTAAAAAAGCTACTTCCTCATTTAAATTAGACTAGCTTACCCGTGCGAATTATTCGCATCCAATATTCTAGAATAAAGAGGAAACAAATAAACTCAGATATTTGCTTCAGGAGTTTGTTTTAATGCAGTCACTACAGATGTGTAATTTTAACTGAAACCTTACAAAACTTCTTTGAAAACGATGTCGGAAGTGATAAAGTGATCACTCTTTTCTTTTCAGTTGAAAGTTTCTTGGATACACTCATAACTATCATTAAATCCGAACTCTTGAAAAAGCCACGTATAGCTCTGCCCATGCGAAAAGCAGGTTCCGGGTTCCCCCCAAAACCGAGTCGGTCGAGAAATCCGAGTTTCGTTAAGAATTTCAATTACACTCTTGGTATTGTGATACTACTTAACGCACAATTTGGTGCTAATTGCACATAGCGAAATGAAATTTTTTCTGAGATAAAGCTGATCATTTCTTATAGACTCTGTCGCCGAACTCGTCTCTGAAAAATATGTACAGCATTTTAGAATATATCTCCTTTCACATACCGCACAGTGTGCTCCACTCCATGCGAACAGAAGCAGTATTTTGATATGAAGAAAAATGGTTTTGAAAGCTAATGCCTTTCATAAAAAAATATTGTCATTGAGCTACAATTACTCTTTGACCACAAAAAAATTGGTCAAAAATAGTGCTCTTCGAAAAAAACGTGCAAAAAACATTGTATTTTTTGTTAAAATAATATTATAGATTTTGAGACCATCAACACGATTCCCTGTTCACAATTCGAAAAAATAATTTTAACACCTCAATTTAATAAAGGTATAATTTATTGCAATTTTCTTATTTGCATGCAGCTGTGCATCCTTCACACAATTTTATATCCCTCGAATAACAAGTGCGTTAGAAGTCTCTAGGCCCTCTCAGAGCCAAGTTAACTTCGAAACTGCTGTAATAGTTTTTACTCCGACATTAGAAAAAAATTTCGTGAAATGAGTAGTCCACTTGCAAAGTTCTCTATGTAAATTTTTTCGATTTTTAATTTTTGGTGGTTTCGTGAAATGAGTAGTCCACTTGCAAAGTCCTCTATGTCAAATTTTTTCGATTTTTAATTTTTGGTGGTTAACGTACCAGTATTTAAAGTATTTTCATGTCCGCTAACAATACAGTGCAAAATCCTTACATATTCTGAAAAAATAGCATCAAACTGTTAGCTACTCTAGCTAAAGTCGCTATAATAACTACTTACTGTATGTATATATACATTTTAAAAAGTCGCTATAATATTTATTTATTGTACGTATTTATACAAGTTCAAAAGTCTCAATGATGAGCTTAGAAAACAGCAAGAAAACGTGGTAGTTTCAGTGCCTAGTGGAAGGCGTCGGCAAAAAGAAGCAGACCAATCTTCATGGAAGATAGAACGCGAAAAGCAAAAAAGCTAGCTATGTAAAACTTATTGTTTCAAAACTCGCTATATTAATTTTTTATATATAAAATTTGCAAAAGCTACCATACTGCGATTTTGTTTTTTGATATTATTAGGCTCTTATTTATCCAAATTTTCAACGTTTGTAAACGCGCGTGCGTATATATGTGCATACAAATTTACATGCAAAACTCACCCGTAATTCGCTAACAAAGTGTTCGCTAGCGCACGGTCTGTGGCGACACGACGAAGGCAA